GTTTAAATTGATTGGTAAAGACGGTTGCTGCTTATTCTCATTTGATATGTCTTTTAAATTTTGCCATAAATATTTACAATCTCTCGAATCTTCAACTGCCTTGTTATAGAACATCTTACTCTTTTTAATAATAGCCTGGCATTTATTTCTCAATAACTTATAATTAATCCAGTCTTTACAACTTTTATAGTGATCCCTTTTATTTCGGGCCTCTTTAATTTCGTCAGAGTACCTGAATCTGGTTGTTTAGTCCTTTTTTGTTTGTCTTCTTTACCTCTAGTCTACAGCTGACTGATTTAGTGCTACACTTATATTTTTACTATAAAAGTTTGAATATTTATTTTGGTTAGGATTTTTTTCTGCACATCATAATTATGTACTTAATTTGTTGATTGTTTGCAGTTACAATGATACAATGTGTTGTTTGTACTTACATTATGTCACTGATGTCTAACTGAATGTGATACTGTTGGCTGTTTAGAGTCAAATTACCAGAATGTTGACACGAAATTCATGTAAATTAATAAATGACCAGTCACAACATTCAAAGCAGGTCAATGTCAACAGTACACTTATAGCAGTAAGCTGGAGTGTTTTGACAGCAGAAATTATATGTTTATTGTAAATTTAGTATTTTGACCAGATTAGCAATATTTTTTAACATGGTTACATATTGTATACATGTACTTATCCATTGAATATGATTTCTCCAATTTGGATTATTATGCTCCCTGAAAAATTTCGGGGGAGTATATAGTCGCCAGGTTGTCTGTCTGTCCGTCCGTCCATACATACATACGTCCCGAATTCGTGTCCGGCCCATAACTTTGTGATTTGAAGTCGAATTTTAAAACTATTTCACAGAAATGATCACCATATTAAGACGACTTGTCGCGCGCAACATTTGGGTCGCTACCTTGAAGGTCAAGGTCACAGCATGACCTTGAAGCAAAATCGTGTCCGGCCCATAACTTCTTTATTTGAAGTCAGATTTTAAAACTATTTCACAGAAATGATCACCATATTGAGACGACTTGTCGCGCCCAACATTTGGGTCGCTGCCTTGAAGGTCAAGGTCACAGCATGACCTTGAAGCAAAATCGTGTCTGGCCCATAACTTCTTTATTTGAAGTCAGATTTTAAAACTATTTCACAGAAATGCTCACCATCTTGAGACAACGTGTCGCGAGTAACATTTGGGTCGCTACCTTGAAGGTCAAGGTCACAGCATGACCTTGAAGCAAAATCATGTTCGGCCCATAACTTTATCATTTGTAGTCGGATTTTAAAACTATTACACAGAAATGATCACCATATTGAGACAACGTGTCGCGCGCAACATTTTGGTCGCTACTTTGAAGGTCAAGGTCACAGCATGACCCTGAGGAAAAATACTGTCCGGCCCATAACTTCGTTATTTGAAGTAAGATTTTACAACTATTTCACAGAAATGATCACCATATTGAGACAACGTGTCGTGCACAACATTTAGGTCGCTACCTTGAAGGTCAAGGTCACAGCATGACCTTGCAGCAAAATCGTGTCGGGCATATAACTTTGTTATTTGAAGTCGGATTTTACCACTTTTTCACAGAAGAGATCACCATATTAAGATGACGTGTCGTGCGCAACATTGGGTTGCTACCTTTAAGGTCAAGGTCACAGCATGACCTTGAAGCAAAATCGTGTTCGGCCCATAACTTTGTTATTTGAAGTCGGATTTTACAACTGTTTCACAGAAATGATCACCATATTGAGACTACGTGTTGCGTTCAACATTTGGGTCACTACCTTGAAGGTCAAGGTCACAGCATGACCTTGCAGCAAAATCATGTCCGGCCAATAACTTTGTTATTTGAAGTTTGATTACACAACTATTTCACAGAAATGATCACCATATTGAGACGAAGTGTCGCGCGCAACATTTGGGTTGCTACCTTGAAGGTCAAGGTCACAGCATGATCTTGAAGCAAAATTTTGTCCGGCTCATAACTTAGTTATTTGAAGTCGGATTTTAAAACTATTTCACAGAAATGCTCACCATCTTGAGACGATGTGTCGCATGCAAGTGGGTAGACAGATCTAATTGAGTAGAAGTGCAGTGCAAAGAACAGTAACTCTGCATTGCCTAAGTTTGGAATTATCACATTTTGAACTTTGTCTGGGACATAACTCTGAAAAACTACAAAAGATATACTTTTCTGTGTCCAAATCCTATTCGGGGAGCATCACCCGGTTTAACCGGCTCTTGTTTCATCTGTGTTAATACTCTCAGGGTAATGAAAAAAATTATTTGTGAACAGTTGTTTTTTTTTCCATTGTTAATACTTTTGTATTGTTAAAAATTATCATGTGTTATCATTCATAGGAATTTTACAATAAATTTTGTTAAATCATTTATACTTCTTTTTGTCTTGTTTTTAACCTGGTATGGTGAATTTAAAAAATGCTATTATTATTTTTTCTTATCTTTTTATTTGGTGTCCTCATAAAAGTGGTACTTGTTGGCCATAAATGCTGAACAATCTTTTCAACTGAAAGTGATTAGCATTTGCAACAATGATAGAACAAGGTCAGGCTGCAGTCTGGCCATTCTCATCTTTGTTGGTTGACCAATAACAAAAGCCATCGCCTAGCGGGGCCCACACTTGACTTTTACCCTTTCCTCAAGTCAACCATGTCATGGGAGGAAGAATCTTGTAGTAAAGAATACTTGACCTACAAGGTTGACGTCAAGGTCATTATGAGTGAAAGTCAAATTGAGTTTAATCTTCTTTTTAAGGCATTGTCCTTAAGGTAGTTGTGAAGACAATCTATATATAAAGAATAAAGTTATAGCAAAAATCAAACATTTGACCATGAAGGTCAAGGTCATTTACGAGTCAAAGTCAATTTTAGTCTGGTATACTTTAAGGTATTTTTCAAAGGGTTGAGATGTGGGCATTTTAGACATGCATATAGGAGATGTGCCCTGGGCAATATCCGGAAAATATCTGGATATTTTATCATCTCTAGTGACCTTGACTTTGCAAATATTAATCTTAATTACATGTCACACTGTAGTCATGATAGTTATCATTTGTATAACAATCCATTAATAAATGATGACCTCTATGTGACCTTGACTTTGGTTGCAGGGATCTGGATAATCTGCAGATTAAGCCTCACAATGGTGAATATTTGTGCCAAGTAACATTAAAATCCCCCGATGAATGTAGAAGTTGGGTTCAGAACAAGCAATTTTACATGACCTCTAAGTGTGACCTTAACCTTTAACCTAGAGACCTGGTTCATGCACATGCATTTCTAAATTCTATCATTTATAGTGACCTTTACCTTGTATATATTAACCTAAATTACATGTTTCACATCAGTAGTCATGATAATGACCATTTGTGTTTCAATCCCTCAATAAATGATGAGTAAATGGTCTGAATATACACATTTTCATATTATTATCTAAACTTGACCCCTAAGTGTGACCTTGACCCCAGGGACCTAAAGCATGCAACACTGCCTCACAATGGTCAACATGTGCGCCATGTAATATTGAAATCCCTCAATGCGTGTAGAAGTTTTGCTGTGGACAAGTGTTTTTCAATGACCTCTAAGTGTGACCTTGACCTTTGACCTAGTTCATGTACATGACACTGCTCATAGTGGTGAACATTTGTATGAAGTTTCATAAGAATCCCTCCTTATTTGTAGGAGATATGGTCTAGACAAAATCTTTATATTTTATCATCTTTAATGACCTGACATTGACATTGACCTTGCATATAATAACCTAAATCACATGTTTCACACCAGTAGTTATGATAATGACCATTTGTGTTTCAATCAATCAATAAATGATGACTAAATGGTTCGAATACACATTTTCATCTGAACTTTGACCCCTATGTGTGACCTGACCTTGGCAGAAGGGACCTAAATTTTTGCATGCCATTTTCCGCCTCACAATGGTGAACATTTGTGCTAAGTTATATTGAAATCCTGTGCATGTAAGAGTTTTGCTCTGGACAAGCATTTTTCAATGACATCTAAGTGTGACCTTGACCTAGAGACCTGATTCATGTGCAGGACACAGCTTCTCATAGTGGTTAACATTTCTATGAAGTTTCGTTCAAATTTCTCCATGCGTGTACGAGATATGCTCCCGTAATAAGTGGACGCCGCCTACCAGGGGGAAACTATAATACGACCCATTTTTCAAATGGGTGTATAACAATCCCTTTAGTAATTTTTAAAGTTATGGCCAATGTTAAAGTTTTAGGATGGCAATAGGAAAGGGAACAAAGAACATGACTATCAATAGCTCTTTTTTTCTTCCAAATAGTCTAGCTTAAAATGACCCCAATATGGCTAATATCTTTAATCCCTTTAGTTATAAGAATGACATCTTAACCACCAGGTCATAGCTTCGTGTAATCAAGAAACATTACTTAGACATATTTCCATATGATACTATAATGACAAAACACACAATATCAGTTATAGATTAAATTTTCAAAACCATCATAATTGCTGTTTTGGGGAAAGAAAAAAACAAAACAATTTTAAGATTGAAACAACATTTATTTTACATAATTTTGTATTAATTCACAGAACTGTCTATGTAATAAAATATATTCAACATATACATATATAATATTTATTATGTTTACAACATAAATGTGTAGTTCTTATCATATGAACATAGATTTATAAATTGTCTTATCTTGTATTTACTTATATAAACAAGAAAATATTTAAAACAACGAATACATTCATAAAGCTAATAAACAGTCATAAATATTATAAAATAATAAATTAGAATTCCATCAACTAAAACTGATTAAGAATGGATAAACAGGAATGTAAAATAATCTTTTTATGTGCAAAACAATCACAAATAAAAAGCCTTGCAACACTTTTCACTCAAATCTGGCTAAGAATCACACTAAAATCAATTTTCAATTTACATGTAATTCTGAGTATAAGCATATTTCTTTGTTATCCTTTGCAGAGTTTCTAATTTTATTTGCTTCTCTTGATATTTGTAACATTTTCAAATTTTATGTTTTTAAACCTTTGAACCTCAGTGGAGTTCCTTTAAAATACAGGCACAATTGGTGGAAAATTTTGCACAGGATACGGAAAATATCTAATATGGTTAGAAAATTTATCTGTAACAGATAGGATGGAAATCTACATTGGATGGAAAATAGTTATAGTTAAAAGAATATGCCAGCAGCAGGAAAATGTATCTGCAGTATGTAAGTTGGAGTGTAGAAAATGTAACATGTACGACTTTCTTATTCTGTTATTAGGTAAAGAATAGAGTGACAGCCAGTCAACACATAAGCTAAAGAAATCTGACACTGTGGCAAAAGAGTGTAAAAATATATACTGGTATTTACAATGAAAATTACGATGAAAATTAAAAAAATTTCGTGGCAGCAAGTGGAATAAGACCAAAAGAGTAAAATATGTGGGAAAAGTGGATCAGGGTACAGTACAGTTGTTGTTTTCACAGTGTATAATAGATGTTTTAAGGGGGAATATTCATACAAAAGGAAAAGAATAAATAATCAATATAATGTCATATCAAGCTCTTGGTTACTTTTTGAGCCAATTTAAAATGATTTTAGACAAAAATATAATTATACACACATTGAGCAAACAAATAATACAGGATTTTAGAAAGAAACTAAAGAAATAATGCTGATGCATCAAATATGTGATAGCAGATAGTGTAGACATCGTTTTGTAGTCAAAATATTGTGATAATTTCCTGTAAGTGAACCCTGTTTTTCTGTAAGACAATTCTGAATAATGGAAAATGTAGTATTTGAAGAGTGCAACTTTGTAGAGAATGCTAGAGCATTTACAAAATGTTTTGAAATATAAAAAAAGTCAGAAATAGGTAGATAGATTAAGAATCCTTTGTTAACTTACATATCATTTTATACTGACAAGTTTGTAGCATAAATTATTTTTTCTAATAAAAAAAAAAAGCTAAAACAAAAATTACCATGTAAAAATCAGAGTGTAAAACAATCAATAATGTATCAATATAAGTGAAATCTAAAAGATGGAAAAAAATGCTTTTTCTTATTTACAGAAAAAAGTACATTATTCTCACAGAGAATAGTGTTTAAGTTCCAATGTTCTACAAAAATGCTAGCACCTCACAATTGAAAATAGGGTTTTTTATCACTGATAGACAAAAACTGTTTTTTATCTCAGAGATGGAAAAAAGTTCTTTAGTGTTTCACAAATTGACAAAAAAAAATTAAAATTTCATTAATAGATTAAAAGGTGTGTTCTTTTTTTTTATAACTGGTAGACAAAAAGTTTTCCATTTCACAGATAGACAACAGTGTTAGAACCCAATTGAATCTATCTGATTAGAGACCATGCTCATATTGTAGCCTAAATAACTTTGGCCCATTTTACATTTTCATACTGTCAAACCTAAAAAGACATTGCCCGTCCAAAATTATCTTGATGTCTCTTTGACAAGTCAAATAAGATGCACTAAATCATATTGATGCAGTAATATTACACAAAACAAGAGGGCCATGATGGCCCTGAGGTCGCTCACCTGTATATAGGCCCCCCCCCCCCCCCCCAACGTTGCAGGGCCAATTTTAACCCAAGGGCTTTAATTTTGCACAAACTTGGTAGACAACCATAAGAAGATGTTTCATGCTAAACATCTAAGCTCTAGCTCATTGGGCTTTTTAAAAGAAGATTTTTTTTAAATTTTTACTATACACATATAGTTAAAAACAATGACACCCCTGGGGCCGGGCCAGTTTTGACCCCAGGGCTTTTATTTGAACAAACTTTGTAGACACTTACTAGAAGATTTTTCAGACTTAATATCTAAACTCTAGCTATTTGGGTTTTTTCAAAGAAGATTTTAAGTTTTTGCTATACACATATAAAGAAAATCAATGACCCCCCAGGGCGGGGCCAATTTTGACCCCAGGTCTTTTATTTGAACAAACTTTGTAGACACTCACTAAAAAATGTTTAATGCTTAATATCTTAACTCTAGCTATTTGGGTTTTTTCAAAGAAGATTATTTAAGTTTTTGCTATACACATATAAGGAAAATCAATGACCCCCGGGGCGGTGCCAATTTTGTCTCCAGGGCTTTTATTTGAACAAACTTGGTAGACACCCATAAGAACATGTTTCATGCTAAATATCTTATCTGTAACTCTTTGGGTTCTTTAAAAGAAAATTTTTTAAGTTTTTACTATATGCATATAGGGAAAATCAATGACCCCCCGGGGAGGGGCCAATTTTGACCCCAGGGCTTTTATTTGAACAAACTTGGTAGACACCCATAAGAACATGTTTCATGCTTAATATCTTATCTCTAACTCTTTGGGTTCTTTAAAAGAAGATTTTTTAAGTTTTTACTATATGCATATAGGGAAAATCAATGACCCCCTTGGGCGGGGCCAATTTTGACCCCAGGGCTTTTATTTGAACAAACTTGGTAGACACCTATTAGAACTTGTTTGATGCTCAATATCTTAGCCATAGCTCTTTGAGTTCTTTAAAAGAAGATTTTTTAAGTTTTTACTATATGCATATAGGGAAAATCAATGACCCCCCGGGGGGGGGGGGGGGGGGCCAATTTTGACCCCAGGGCTTTTATTTGAACAAACTTGGTAGACACCCATTAGAACATGTTTCATGCTAAATATCTTAGCTCTAGCTCTTTGGGTTCTTTAAAAGAAAATTTTTTAAGTTTTTACTATATGCATATAGGGAAAATCAATGACCCCCCGGGGCGGGGCCAATTTTGACCCCAGGGCTTTTATTTGAACAAACTTGGTAGACACCCATTAGAACATGTTTCATGCTAAATATCTTAGCTATAGCTCTTTGGGTTCTTTAAAAGAAGATTTTTTAAGTTTTTACTATATGCATATAGGGAAAATCAATGACCCCCCCGGGGCGGGGCCAATTTTGACCCCAGGGCTTTTATTTGAACAAACTTGGTAGACACCCATTAGAAGATGTTTCATGCCAAATATCTAAGCTCTAGCTCTTATGGTTTTTTAAAAGAAGATATTTAAAGTTTTTTCTTTCGGTTGCCATGGCAACCAGAGTTCTGCATGGAATTAAATTCTTTGAACAATTTTTAAAGGGGACCACCAAAGGAACATTCCTGTGAAGTTTGGATGAAATTGGCTTAGTGGTTTATGAGGAGATGTCGTTTAAAGTAAAAGTTTACGGACGGACGCTGGACGGACGGACGCCGGACGAAAAGCGATCACAAAAGCTCACCCTGTCACTTTGTGACAGGTGAGCTAATAAAAATGTAACTTTATTTAAATAAGATAATTGCTCTTGTAGATTAATTAATCACAGTATAATCTGTCAACCAATTGTTCCCATCTTCATTGTCTGCTATTTTGATGGTAGCTGTTGTCTGAGGTAATGTTAAAGAAATAACTTTTTATACCAACCAAAACAACAACAAACAAAAGAAAATCAAAGGGCTGCAGCTCTATGGTATTTTCTGATCTTTGCAATCTAAATCATACTGACTATCTGTATGTACTTTCCTGTATAAGTTTATTTTTATATACTTTAATTCATCTTACGCAGCGACAGCGTTTTGATTTTCTTCTATAACAGTTTGAGATTGATACATATGGAATTTTGCATGAAAAAAAATAGAATTGCCTCGACTAGGATTTGAACCATAGGCCTCTCACACCCTCAACGAGACCGCTTACCTCTGCACCACGGCGAAGTAAAACATATGTACCTTGAATAAAAACGAATACATTATGTAATTCTAAATTGAGAATTTCCATTTCGTGTTTGCAATCCTTATTAATTTCGAGGTATTTTGTTCACAATAAACCTGTTGTTTAACACTGATGAAAATAATTTAGCGAAAATCTTCTCGCCAAAACAGTCCGACATGTATATATTCCACTACTCGACAGTCAGATTTATTTGTGTACTACGCTCTGGAGTATTCATTTAATCGACATAGCTAAAAATAGCATTTTCATTGATTAAAATGATATTCATGATAATCCGAAGTTTTACGGAAATAGCCGAACATTTTTCATTGGGTAAAAAAGATATTCATCCGCGAAATTTGTTATTGTAACCTCATATTTCTATTGACTAATCTAAACTTTTAATGCACTGTAATTTGTTAAATGCCTACATTAAAAATTATTCTTTCTTTTAAATTGCTGGTTTTTAAGCAGTATTGAGTGAGAACTACTTTGCGTTGTTAGGACTGTAAGGAAATTTTGTGTTAGACCGTGGATGTTAGCTATGTATTTACTGATCTGACGATCAGAAAATACAAAAACAAGAACAACGTTTTCTTATTAAATGATATAGTCCTGTTTTGCTATTAACTGCCATTTTCCAAAATTAGAATCAGCAAATGCAAATGTATAAATGGACATATTCAAGTGTTTTTCTTCTAAAATGTCCCTTTGTGCATTAATTCAAACATGGAATCATGGACCATTGAGCAGAACCATGGATCTAAGCTAAGTGGATAGTTGAGAAGAATTCAGTTCTCGATAGGACTAAAAACCACATTTGTTACAGGCAAAGAACTGTAAATAAGATATTTCTACCAATGGACCATTAAAATTCCTTAAAAATGAATGTTTTATCACCTTAAAAAGAAATGCAGTTAAAGTTTGGTTTTTAATCACTTAAAATAGGTAGTATAAAGACCAAAGAAAGCAATTTTGCAGCTATATAAATTATTTATAAAGATTTCTGACAGGTTATCCTGATATGTATACGTTATGATTGTCAATTGTAATTGGCTATCATTGTAATTGGTTTTAACTGTAATTGGTTATAATTGTTATATGTTGTAATTGTAATCTGTTGTAATTGTAATATGTTGTAATTGTAATATTGTAGTTGTAACTTTAATCTTTTGCTGTAATTGTAATATATTATAATTGTATTTTTATTATTGTAATCTAACATGGAATAATGTAATTTGTTGCAATTGTAATATATTGCAGTTGTTAAAAAGGATACATTGATGTACTCAGACCCTGAAGCTGTAAATAAACAAAACCAGATCAGTTAATATATAATATACACATTTTTTTAAATGAAAAACCACAATTGAGTATCTACAAAATATATATGACTTTAACCAGGTCTAGTAAAATATATCAACTAAACATTAAGGATTATGTTGAAACTACTCATAGAGACAGTATGTAAAGTAAGTAACCAGATGTACCATAAAATAGATCTTGTCCCTAACAGCCAGAACATTTCACTAAATGTTAATGTCTTATAAAGTATTCATGAAAATCTTGATAACTGACAGTGAAACAGAGAGAGTACTGAATGAAAAGCAAATCTACCAGTGCTGTATTTCTCATTCATGGGGAAGGTAAACAGTATAGTTTTTTCATTGATTATCTTATTAGTATTTTCATTGATTATCTTATTTATTCGTTTCTTATATAAATGAAGACATGGAGACAAATCACAAGTTTTAATTCCACCAGATGTCAGTATTTTAAATCAAAAAAGATATTTAAAATAAAGAAGAAATATGTTATATAAACCATTTTACCTTTCCTATCATTTTGTTGATTTGCTCATAATTTCTAGTCCTTGCCTCTTCTGATGCCATCCTACAATATTTGACATTGTATAAAATTAAAAAGAAAACTCCATGAATGTGCACATGAAAACATTAATTTTATTAGTTATTTTGAAGCTGCATGCCTCCAGATGAGCCAAAATATTTGAATAAAATCAAGCCTGTAAAAAATGTTCTAAGTTTTTAGGAAAAATTAAAAAGATTAAAGCTTAAAGAAATAATTGACATGTTATGTGCGATTAATGGCTGATTTTTCAGTAATTTTATCCTATATTTCTACTGCGTTAAATGCAGTAAGGGCTATTTTTGCATATTTTAACCTCTTTTTGTTAGCTGACATGGAATTTGAGTGCCATTGATAATGTGCAGATTGCTTCCTTTTGGTTACTCCAAAAATTTATACTTTATAATCTATTTTCAAATTTTTCATAAATTTGGTATAAATCTGGAGGCGAGCTGCTTTAAAATCATTATCTTTCCTGTGGTTTTTATGGATAGGTCAATTTCAAAGAAATCTCATTTAGTCTGCTGAATTTAGGAACCCACAATATATCCTTTCTGACAAAATCTTGAAATTCTTCATAATTTATATAATATACATTGTATTGAAAATATGGCAGATAAAAATTTGGCGGGTAATAAGCTTAATTTCTGCCAATTAAAACTGCAGTTCTAATCTTTTATTTGTCGAATACAAATGTTTAGTTTCAACACCATATGTGCTTTACAGTAACTTAAACAGGATAAATATTGTTAATTCCAGCTACTTAATGGTTTTTTTTTAAAATTCTTTATTCAAGCTGTGGCGGCTTAACTGTGCTCTGGTAAATTCAATATGGCTTACTGTCTTGATCCAGAGTTAAAACTTGCAACACCACCACCTTCTTCAAGCATAATGGCAGCATGATTAATGTATCCTTATAATCATATGTACCATAAAGTAGTTTATAGTAACTTAAACAGTACAAAAAATTGTTATTAGTGTATTAGAGGAACTCTAAATTCCAGCTCTTTGATGTTTTTTTTCTATTCCTAAGCATAATGTCAACATGATTTATATATCCTTATACATGTAACATGTACAATAAAGTACTTATGACAACAAAATGTACTTATCATAACTTTAATGATAATTTTACCTCCTCATGTCTTGTTGAAGGTCAAGGTCAAAGTGTAGTTGAGCTAGCTGTTCCTGTTTACTCCTGATTTCGTTCATCTTGTCATACATATCAGTGCCACCTACATGCATGAAAAAAACAAACAACGGAGCCAAATAAATCATTCTGTTACATTTTATACTACAAGATATTCATAATTATATTATATATTAATGAATGGAAAATACAAACAGTACTGAGAGCAGGTCAAGTGAAAACTTTTCTAACTTCTTACTTTAAATGAAGGATCTTAAGTTTACTAAAATGATAACTATTTTTTCTCATACAAAAGTCCTACTTATTCTGTTAATGGTTCTTTACATTTTCTAGCAGTATCTTAACTCAAAATAATTAAAATGACTTAATTTAACACTTTTGGCATCTGTTAACTGCCAATATAGGCTTAAGTTGGTAACTGTTACATATGAAAGTACCAAATGCTTGAAGTTTCCCTGAATGAAAGTCCTCCAAAAGTTGAAGAAGTCCCTGCTCCATTACCCTGACATCTGCCACATCCGTCAGAAAGGAATGTTCCTTACATGGTCTCTGTGTAGCACTTGCATTAGACAGTCCACGTCCTAAAGTGTCAAATTACATATGTTTTACCATGAAAATTATTTAGCTAAATGTAGATGTTCGTTGTTACAGTGAGTAACAAGCTTACAAATCTATCACATTAAAATTCAATGATTAATTACATGTATATTTACTGACAAAGTGACAAACATTCATCTATTTTTCCCATTTCCCGTAATATCTGGATTTCTCTCATTATTAGGGCCAAATTATGACATATTGCTTACAGCTGATGGAATTGGCACTCACAGCATGCATCAATATCTGAAAATATATATTCTTTGCAGGGCAGGTCTGATATTTTAGCCTGACAGAAGAGTATCATTAATTTTTTAATATTTGTAAATCTAGATAATATATGTTGAAATATTTACTTTTTCTTATGAGTATGATATTAAAGCATAGGAAAACACAAAGATCTTCAACCAAAATATAGTGTGAATGAATATGTATGCTGAAGATAATGCTATAAGGAAACTCCACCAATAACGGTGTTGAATTAATTGTTTTATCAAATAATGCACAAGATTTAATTAGGAAAAGGATATTTGCAAATTAAAACAATTCAAGTGTCTTTTTCTGGTTGAGTTTTATAATGTATCTGATCCAAAACTTAAATGCAGCATCAGATTAAAGAACAAAATGTTAAACTAGAAATGTGTCATCATGCCACGGATGCCCCCGCATGCAGCCAAAATTTCAGATGGTGCTTTAATTATTTTTTTCATTTTAAGTTCAAAGCCCTTAAAACTTTTCAATGTTAACACAAACCATTTTCATACAATGTTCAAGGCACTGAAATTATTCAGTCTAAACCTTTTAAAAATAGCATATTGCATATTTGTAGCCAAAATAATGGCTAAAAGTAAGAGTGCTGAAAGTGAAAGTTCAAAATTTTTCCAACATTCAGGAAAGATAAGTTTGTCTTAAATCATTGAACTACAACCAAATTCAAACTTAAACTGCTTATTCCTAAGATGTATCTATATTATTTTCAAAGTGAAAGGGACATAACTATGCCAAAAAATCATCAAACCATGACCAAATTCCAACTTGACCTGCCCATTCCTTTGACATATTCATATGTCAAATTTAAGTTGAATATGTAACACTGTTGGGTAGATAATGAACAGAAACTGTAAATTTCATATTATTTTCAAAGTGAAAGGGGCATTACTCTGCCAAAAATCATTGAACCATGACCACACTCTAACTTGGCCTGGGCATTCCAAAAACATATCCATATGTCAAATTTGAGTTGAATGTGTTGTACCATTGGGGAGATAATAAACGGAAACTGAAAATTTCATATTACTTTCAAAGTGAAAGGGGCATAACTCTTCCAAAAATCATTGAACCATGACCAAATTTGAACTTTACCTGCACATTCCTTTTACGCATCCATATGTCAAGTTTGAGTTGAATGTGTTGTACCTTTGGGGAGATAATGAACGGAAACTGAAAATTTCATATTATTTTCAAAGTAAAAGGGTCATAACTCTGCCAAAAATCATCGAACCACGACCAAATTCGAACTTGACCTGTATTTTCTCATGACATATCCATATGTTAAGTTTGAGTTGAATGTGTAATACCGTTGGGGAGATAATGAACGGAAACTGAAAATTTCATATTATTTTCAAAGTAAAAGGGGCATAACTCTGCCAAAAATCATCGAACCATGACCAAATTCAAACTTGACCTGTATTTTCTCATGACATATCCATATGTCAAGTTTGAGTTGAATGTGTTGTACCGTTGGGGAGATAATGAACGGAAACTGAAATTTCATATTATTTTCAAAGTAAAAGGGGCATAACTCTGCCAAAAATCATCGAACCATGACCAAATTCGAACTTGACCTGTATTTTCTCATGACATATCCATATGTCAAATTTGAGTTGAATGTGTGCAACCGTTCTTAAGATAATGAACGGAAACTGATGATGACGGAATGACAGAATGACGGAAGGATGGAAGGACGGAATGACGGAACAGGGTAACACTAAAAAAGCTGTTTTAAAAGTTTTGGAAGCCAGAAAAAATGCATCTTATCTAATGCACTTTTTCAAGAGTGGCGCTAATGATTTGAAGTGATGTGCAGAATAAAATCACCACAAAGTGTTAATTTGTTTGTATGTATAGAGTTTATTATGCAATATCTTAATCTTTTGTGCCATGTTTGCTGCTTCTTAATCATGTCTCACATACAAAATTAAAAGTTGCTTATTTTCTTTACTAAGTCTCTTAATGGCTTAGGGGTTGCCTTTCAAGGTTGAGGCACTAAAATTGCAGCCACCGTATATCCTAGTCAAAATATATTGACATACCATAGCTAGATTCGGAGATATTTTCGTTCTGGGTCAGAATCTCGCTTCTAGAGACAAGATATTGCCCAGACAAAAATAGTACAAAATATCTCGACGCACAGTAGAATTAGTTGGACTACTGTGTATTATCCCTTCACAGAGATGACTTAATGGGTTTGAATTTCTCAAGTCTATATAGATTTATCTATTAGCTCCAGCAGATAAGGTGGTTTTAAGTGTTGTTTTAAGTTTGATACACACCAGGTTTTCTGTTTCAGGGCAATATGACCTAAATGGTGTTGATACCCTGCAAACATTACCCTTATTAATTTGGCGTGAACGGTTTGACCCATTTTACAGACTTTTTTTCTTACTGTCAAACTGGAAAAAGACAGCACCCATCCAAAATGATCTCTGTGTCTCTTTGACAAGTCTAATTAGTTGGACTATGCAACAATTACCATGTAATACCAAAATCACAGGCTAATGGTCAGTATTTATTCAAATGAAAAAATATTCATATTGTTTACAGTAACCACGTTTCTTTGTGCATAAGTCGAAATAGGATATTTTTGTGTATCAGTCAAATAATCAAATGACAGTTAACAGGTAAAATAATGTTATAAAACTGATAAACAGATAAACAGTTTATCCATGCCAGTTGTTTCCTCTGACGAAAGTGTCTCATACCTTTCGTCTTTTCTCCATTCGTTTTCTTTTCCATATTGACCCCTGTATAAGCTTTATTGAACTTTTATTTTCACCTCAACCTAAGTCATATCGTTAAAATCTGGGGCTTATCTTATGTCCCAGGTTAAAATAAAAAGAATTTTTTGAAGAACACAAAATGGAAAATATCAGTGCAAATGGCGTGATATTTTATAAGGGAGGTAATTCATCCAATGATGATCTTAATGGTGTTACTGTGACGCATAATGACTCGTCCCAATTTAGTGACAATTTGTCTCATTTTAATGACGATTCGTTTTATGTAGTCCTTAAAATTACCCAAGAAATCAAATTGTTGGGCATAAGAATCTTCGAAAATTTAATATTCAACCTAGTTTTTACTATTAACAGTTTTGCGTCTACAGAGTTTTAAGATGAACGGTAACAATCACTAGGCATGCATGCATGTACAGGTGGTTTATACGAAATTCAATTACAACAAACACAAAAATAACTGATGAACTGAGCTCTGTTAACTTCATTGCGGCTTTCTGCCTTGATCCGGAGGAAGTGAAAACTACCAACACACCACTAACTAAATATATTTCATAAAATGTTACAGAGATTTATATTACAAATGTTATTTACCATTTTTTGCCATCAGTGATTGTCATTTCATTTCAACTTATTGTTTTTGTTTTGTAATTGTCCTTTCCAAAGGAATTAACAAATTTTCACCATCGTTCTATTCATAGTTTTGGAAATGGTTTATGATTATGATTGTTTTATTTATTTTTTCCAAATATTTGCTTGTAAGGACTGAATGTTAGTCTCGGGGTATTTTAAAGATACTCTGGGGGTAAAATTCCAATGTCTGTACATTGTATCACATCGGTTGGCACTGTTGTTGTGTAACTTAACTTTGTGTGTTAAGGAAGATTAACTCTTGTCTTAAAACTGGATAATTTTATTCGCAGTTACATCCCGGTTTTTTTTCTAGACTGCACAACCCCCTACGCAGTGGACCCCTTTGCTTTGCTTCACAAATTATTTTGATTGTGATAAATTTTCTTGTATATGTAATGATAACTTTTCGCAAATATTCATCTTAAATTTGATAAAGAAAATATATTTTTTTATGTCCTATTCGTAACAGTAGAAGTAGGAATCCGATTTTTTTGACAGCGTACGGATAAGTTTGGTTTCGTTCGCTTTCTTTCTATATAAAGCCGAAATAACGTTTCTGTTTGTCGTAAAAAAGACATATTTAGACTAAAACAGTTTTTGTTGAAATTAGCCTCCGCAATTTTGATCTATGACAGAGATGGCCATCACACGTGACTAGTGACGTCAGAAATGATATGGAGTTGAATGGCGGCACACATAAACAAACCAATACCAATTCATATATTACAAGCCAATTCAAAATTCAAAAACCAATTTAAAAACGAATCAAAGCAGTTAAAAGCGCATAATTATATTATTTCTCCTCCGGTATATATAGTAGTTTCAACCCCCAAAAGACGTATTTTGTTCAAACATTCGAACTGTGGTTTTGAAGCGAAAATTGGTTATGAAATAAGAGAACTAGCTTGGAAAATTAGGATCGGTTTTTTTATTTACATGGATTTTCCATAAAATATTTTAAATGTTGAGTGCTGTAAGCCATTAGCAATGTGAAGTATATCTTACGCGATTTTTACATTACGTGTATTCGAGAATTGGTGATTTATAGTTTAAGAGCGGTGTACCAGTCTGACAATGAATGAGTTTTACTTTAAAAAGAAATGAACGACATGGTGTCGTGTTTCTTTAAAAATACCACCGTATGATTATTGTCAACATCTACCTATCAAAACGAGAGTTGTTTCTTTTACCTGAAAAAGAAATTGCCTATATATCATTTTACCAGATCAACATCGGCACGATGTGACGAAACTGAGACTTACTGTATTCATGCCTTCAAAGCGTAAAATTTATTTTTGTAAAGTAAACCAACCTGTGAATACAGGATATCATATGAATTAAGTAAATAAAGGTTTAATATTTACAGATTTTTTTGTAGATTTTGAGAAGTGTTAAAATTAAAGTTTGGTTTAAGATTTTCATTATAGTCTACTCGTATACTCGCATGTATGATACACAATTTATAACTGTTTTTCTGTGATATTTCACTTTTTCCGAGATTTTTTTTGCGTAAAAATATCACTGAAGAATCCCATATAAGAATTTCCATTGGGAATAATTTCCAATTAATATGTTTCCTATAGTTTTAAACATATCAAAAGTTTGTCCTGTGGGACACATACATACAATCGAAAATTTAAATAATACATCATGTCATTGAAATATTAAATTCCAATTTTTGTACATCAAAATATCAAGTATCGTTTAAATTTGCACTTTGGAGAAGAAATTGTAAAGCAAGTTTTTTTCTCCATTTGACATATTATAATGATTTTAAAATGAAAAGTCCTTTTGATAAAGAAAGCATTCGGAATTCATGTTGACGTCATCATCAGACCCATTAAAACGTCATTGCATTTTGATACCAAAAGGTGTCACTAAATCAACACCTATTTTTTAGACTTAGAATGAATATTAAGACTCAATACCGGTATTTAACTCATTAATTATATAAATTATGAATGTAATTAAGGTCAATAATGCAATAAGACGAAGTACATCCTATTTGTACCGCTTTGTGTGACGTCCCACATTAAATTTCGAGTATTATGACGATACAAGGCTTGTTTATATCCTGTACTGTATAGTTGTACACCTATATAAACTATTATATTGAGTATCGCATGGACGTGCAACAACATATAGTGTATATAGTATATACGGGTTTGTTTGTTCTCTGTAGGTAAAATAAATTAAGATAAAGGTGAGCTTGTAAAAACATTCTGTGCTTGTGACCAGCCAGGTGGCATGGCTAAACTAATCATGGGAAATAATTGGAATTTTTTGTTCTTATGTTGGTCGATTGTTACAGGTAAGTTATTGATTTTACTTACCCCCGTTTTTCTTTCTGGTAACATGTGGTTTATATGTGCACATGTAATACATATATTTATATATTAAGTTTACAAATATGCATTTATATATTAAAACAAAACTTTAAGCATGAGTTTAGCGATTTTTCACATAACTACCTTAAACATATTTGTGCGGTATTTTTATATTTTAAATATAATTGTTCTGTCTTAAAATTACAGCATTATTATATCAAAAACGTTGATAATATCTGCCTGCATTTTACAACTCTTAATTAGATGAATGCACTACTTAAAATTATTAACTTTACATGGAAACTTGACACGAGGTTGACATGTTCTTGAATTTAAATAAATTAAGCTGTGCCACGTTAAATATTTTAAATGGACTTGTCCATCTTTCAAATGGACATATTCATTCGTCTTTTTTTGAAAGTACTGGCTGTATAGCAAACAGTGCAGACTTTGATCAGACGACACCGACTGACCTTGGTCTTAATTAGAATCAGTTCCACCATGAAGTAGGCTAAGGATTAAGTTAATAACATTTTGTATTATTTGTCGAATTTGCATATAGTTATATACATCTTTGTAAACAAGAATGTTTAACACCACTACCGCAAATTAAAACAGTTGCAACATTTTGTTGAACGTTATGCATATACATGTATATTTAGCATATTTTTTGCGAACAATATAATTGCTTACTTGTAACGTTAATAAATTTATTGCTTTATTGTTTGAAATGCGTGATACTGCACGGTGAACGTTAATTATATCTGTAACTTAGAGGAATTATTGAGAAAACTTTTTAGACATTCCAACATTAATTTTTATATAGAATGTAAGGTGTATTTTGCTGTAACCTGACAAACTATAATCCTATACACATCAAAGGTAAGCCACCGGTTTAGTGAAAACACTTGTTAATGTTTTTTTTTCTCTGCTTAAGAGCAAGCGAGAATACAAAAAGAAAAAAGTTATGATGTATATATTTTAGTTTTCATAATCAATTCGTTTTAAGACATTTAAAGCTCCAAGCAGCTTAGCTGTAATTCGTAAATTTCTGATGGAATTTAGCATTCCCATTTTCTTATATTGATAGGTCAATACAACTCCTACTTTTTAAACAGTTTTGTTCAACAAATCTTTATATAAAATAATGTATTATTTATTAAAAAAATAGAAAAAAGAGAACCGAATGTTTATACATCACTAAATTGCTCATTGTAACACTTGCCTGGCAGAGTGCTACAATTCTACAACTGTTCGCCTTTAAGTAGCCCTAAATCTCACATAAACTTAACGAAATTATAATGCTTCTCCCCCCATTAATGTCAACACATCGTTATAGTAAGTCCAGTATGTCTTATTTATCAAATCGAGCATAATGATTGCTACAAAATTGTATTTAAAACTCTTCGTTATTTTAAATTTTACAGACTATTGTTGCATACATGTCGATACCTTTTTGATAGTATATTATTTTGTTGTTTTTTTGTTTGTAAAGAAGTGTCCTCAAATGTCCACGGCGTACAACATAGATATTGCTACAATGTTGGAACATTAAGTAGTACTTATTTTTTGTTTATAATGACTATTAAGATGGTCAAAGGCAACGCCATCAACCGAGCTTTGTTAACGTTGTTCTGGCCGACAATTTGCGATCGGTATAAATAGAACAGCACTATAGATTGCTTGTAATTCAAAGATTTTGAATATGTAAACGATTTGTTGATTTATTTAAATCTTTATCTAAGAATTCAATGGATTTCATAAGTCTTTTAAACGTATAAATGAGAGCAGGTGTTTCCAAGCACAAATTCTGTTCATAGATATCTCGCTCTTGTTTATTCAAAATAACCAGATATGTTGATATTGAAGTACGACCATTTGTTAATACAAGTTTAATAACACGAATATGTGATGTTTGACCAAGAAAGTATATTTTTGACGAGAAATACATAAACAAGAAGTGTGTGACGGACGGGAAAAATAATAAAAATCGATGCTTTTGAAAAGGCCCATTACGCTGTTCATTTTTCAAAAACTTTTTATTTACACTCATTAGCCATTATAGTCATCTGTCGCTGCTCTTTGGCATTAAGTACATTAAACGATAGTGTATGCTATTAGAAGTCAAACTACCACTTTGTTTACGTTTTCTACGGTTATGATGGATTGCATCTTCCTTCTAGTAATAAACATCTAACACGCTTTGAATTCATTATTTACTATTATTCAACACAATTTTCACTTACATAATTGAGAAGGAAAAAACATTTTTGAGGCACAATGAGCCTTTAACTAGGGTAATAGAAACAAATGTCAATTCTATTTCTATATTGATTCATAGCAATCATGATAAACTGAATAATACAGTTTTTTTTTATAAAAAATAATTATGTTGCTTTGTTTAATAAATGTAAATTAAATTTTAGTACGAAAATTATATAGTGTTTTGTTTGATTACTGAAGATTAACTTTCAGTAGTAAACTATTTTTGCTACATTTTAAGTTGTATTTCAATCATAAGTGGGTAATAATGATAACATTTGTATTTCATGCAATACAAAATCTGTTAATTGTACCTATAGTATGTTTCTACAATCGGTTTTGTCATAAAAGCGGTATTGTTGGGTTCGAACTTTCAGTCACATCGACGCTGTCACTCCAATTAATATTTATACTTATAAGTGGAGATAGAGCCCGAATGTCAACTTGCGCATTATTTCAGTGGTCGCAGGCATCTAGATTTAACTATCAACCAAAGACTAATAGCAATATTCCTTCCCACAGCGTTAAAGGCCTTGACTTTATGACTTAAAGTCACCTACTTTAGACACTTCTGTTTCTAGAGGTCCATATATACGTACTGAAAGTCCAGCGAATAATATCAGCGTTACTGACATATAAATTTGATTTATTTTCGTTAAGTACAGTAAAATAAATTGCGAGATTTTTAACTCTGTATACAAATCACATGAAATATAATCAACACACATACCCGTGCTTATCGAAATAACATCAAAGAAATTATTAATAATATTTCATTTCAAATGATAAATAAAAGAGAAATTCAATTTAAAAAAGGTCATGAATATACGAGTATTTAATTAAACTGTTCAGCATCATTTGGTAATGTGACAAAGTGTACTGAAAACATAAATCCACCTATAATAACCTCAATATAAAAATAATATTTGTATAATAACGACATGTTTTATAGTCATACCCTCTCAACAACTTCAAACTAAAATATCAAGATATGCTATGAATGATTGCAAAATGAATTTCGTTTTACTGAATAAGAAAAGCTTGTTGAAATAGAACACTTTCGTTACCGTTTTAGAACTTAAAAAAGTGTTTGTATTAATTTAGAATAATATCATATACATGTTCATACTTGTATCATTTCATACAAATATACAACGTGCTTGTGAACTTTAAGAGGGATGCGGGAGGGGTCGGGATGAGGCTGGAGGGAAGCTGTGTGGGTTAACTGTCTTATGATTTTATATGAAATGTGTATGTGGGGGAAGGTGGCATTTTTTATGAACAATTATACAACATTGTGAGATGATTATGATTTGTTGGTCTTTATAGTCGTGTTGTTACTCTTGTTGTTGTTGATGGTGTTGATGATAGTGATGATGATAACGACGACGATGATGATTATGATGTTGCTTATGATGATTGTTAGGGACATGATGTGGAATATAAACGTTCTAATCATGAATATATGTTTTGCATAATATACTTCAATAACTAAATAAAGGGGTGTCCGTGGCCGAGAAATAAAGGTCTTTGACTTCAAATCACTTATCACTCGCCGCTGTGGGTTCAAGGAACTTTTGGATTTCTCATGTAGAGAACTGATAGCGTATTACAAACAACCAAGCAACACCAAACAAGTAAATTAATTTAAAGTGTTGTGGTTAGCGGTTAAACCCACCCTTATTAAAGTCTTATTGTTAACTGTATAAAGTTTCTGTTTATTCTTTTCTTTTAAACCCACATTAAAATAGCAACCATCAATGCAGCCAAAGTAGAAAAATACATTGTAACTGTAACTTGAAGCAAAAGTATTATATGTTGCAAGTTGTTAAAGGATGATGTAAGCTATAGTTTTGTTTTATAACATGTCTTAAACATCAAAATATCAATCAATTTTATTTATTTCCAACAAAACAGCTTAAAAACTAACAAACTGTCATAAAGTCATAGCGCAACAACTTTATGTGAAAGCTAGTGCACCACTACTACATTGTATGTAATACCTTCTGACTATAACTTGTGTTAAGAATTTCGTTTACCACTTTCAGATTATTGTGGAACCTAATTATAAATGCCAAGGTTAACATTATGATATAGACGGTAACATATATTTTACCGTTACTGACATACTGGTATCTTCAAAGGTACACCGCCGAGACGGAAAGTAAATTTGTACATTCTTAACATCCTGGAAAACAATGCGGAATGATTTAGCGGCTGAAAAAATTAGTCAAGGAGTGTGTGTGTTTTTATTCGAAAATTTTTTGCCCGCCTCTTAGTTGTTTACTTTTTTTCCGATACTAATATTCACGAATGTAACACGTGTACTGTATCTTCTCGGAAGATATTCAAACAACAACAACAACAACAATGCTGGTATAATGTTTGATTAGGTTACATATAATACTAGTCATGCTAGTAGTTAGAAACTAGTTTTAAATCTTATATGAACAACGTATTTAAGAAACTACGAAATACATGTATTTCAAAACTGTTTTCTTAGGACCATTTTGCTCTTATTTTTTATTTACATTAATTGTGCTATTTTGTTTTATAATTTTAATTTTGTCTGTCCATGAATTTTCTATTTATCGTTCATCATTATTATATAATGCTCATCATTTTTATATAGTTTTCAATACTCCAAAGAAACAACAGAATGCGGTTGGCATAAAATATCATTAGCAAGAACAGAAAAAACGTATTTTTTCGTTCATGTTGT